AAAAAAAAAAAAAAAAAAAAAAAAACAAAAAAAAAAAAAAAAAGAAAGAAAGAAACAAAAAAGTTTAGCAAGTCCGCTTGTATTCTATTTTCTTTAGCAACTGTTGTTGCCTGGCTTGCAATTTCTCCTTTTCTAGCAATAACTTCTGTTCCTCTGCCTGAAGGGAATGGACATATTCAGTGGCTTTTTTCAAAATCACAACTTTTGCAGCTTTCTCATTTTTAACAAGTTCTGGAACGTGGTCCCTTAACGTCAGGAAACTGGACCGTAGATCATTACGCCTCTGACGCTCCAAGATATTATGGTTACGTCGACGTTCACTATCCTCTGAATCAGAGTTTCGAGGACTTGAACTCTTAGACTTTGGTTGGATCATGGGTTTTACTGGACGGGGCACCTCGGCTTTTAACTTTTTCTGTGGTGGTGCATCTTCACTCTCCATATATGGAGAAGGAGCAGCATAATTATGCTGCTGGTGAATTGGTGCGCAACGCTTTAAAATCAGTTCATTCTGCTGTGTCCTGACTGATGGAAAAGTGGTATTTTTAGGACGCACTGTAATAGTGAGGGTGGTAACAGCCTTGTTGGAGGAGGAGCGTCTTTTCTCCACTGTCACAACATCTATTTCTTCTTCATCATCCTCTTCTTCTTCGTCTTCATCATCTTTTGGTTAAAGAAAATGAAAAATGAAATTGACATTATTCTCTCAGAAAATAAACATTAATATTTATTGACAAAATATGCACTTTAGAAATACCAATACAAGAGCTGATGGTAAAAATAGGGTGTCCTCATTGTCCATAATCAAATATAGTTCTAAAGATGTATATAACACGCACAGAACGAAAGAAAAAAAAAAACAAACAACAAAACAAAATAGATTTTTGCAAGTTTGGGAACTTTATAACGTTTGTTTCTCACAGAATATTTCGAGTTTGAAGGAACCCATAAGGACTGTGTCCAACTCCCTTTCTTTAACCACTTCTAATTTTAAGTAAAAGTGGGGTTACCACCCAACTAATCCCAGTGGCGAAAAGTTTTCATACGAAACGCATTCATTTTTACTACAGCTGCAGAGCTGGGGCACAAACTACACGCACAGAGCCACAACACAGCCCTGGGTTGGTGGAAAAGCAGACGGGAAACGAAACAATCGCTGGGTTTGTTCTAGTGCAGAAGGTGAAGCTGCTCCCGCCGGGGACCCTTTAAGCCGGCGCTTGGTGCAGTGCCAAGAAGACAGCTGTTGGAAGTGCTTCCTCACCCAAAGCTGTCAAACCAGACATTAAAGGGACAGCAGGCTCCGCGAGCCGAGACGGATCGCCAAGTTTATGGTGACGATCATACGGACCCGCTCCCTTACACACGCAGTCCTACCTACCGAACCGGATGCGAGCTATCTGAGGGCATTTTAGGCTCTGCCAGCGTACAGACAAGGACCCTCTGCGGGCTGCCAGTACGTTCCAGCCTCCCCACACTATAAACATCCTCCACCGACTGCACATCAGCATGGCACTGCCCCTCGCTTCTGACCACACACTCCCCACAACGGCCTCCGGAACGGCGCACACACAACCCGGGACGGCAGGAAGATGTTGGGAAGCCCCAGGAGCCGCACAGCACCGCTCGAGCACACCGCGCCCGTTGCTGTTGGCCCACAGCCCCGCAGGGCGGCCGCCCCGGGCCCCGCCGCGCCTGTTGCGGCTGCTGCCGCCTGCCGGCCAGCCCGCACCCCGCACCTCCCGCCCCGTCGAGGCCCGCCGCGCTTACCCGAGTCGCTGAGCGTGTCGTCCCCGGAGCTGCTGCTCCCGGCCCGGCTGTCCCCAGTGGGACGCGGCGGGCGGCTGCCCCGCAGGGTCTCACCGCCGCTCGGCACCGCCGCTTCCCGCTTGTTGACGGGGAAGGGGAAGACCACGGCCGGGTCCACGCACTCGGGCACGGAACCGCCCAGCTCCGCGCGGCCGGGACCGGCGCTGGGGCCGTTCGCGGCGGAGACGGCGGCGGTGGGTACAACCGGGGGCGGCGGCGGCGGGGCGGCGGCGGGCGGCTTGCCCTGCAGCTTCTCGCTGACCACCCGCTCTAGCTTCTCGCGGGCCGAGAAGCCGCTCCACATGCAGTCCTGGATGATGATGGAGTTGAGGTTGTTGCTCGCCCCAAGGCCCGTCTCGAAGAAATCCGCGCCGTCCGCGCCGCCCCACAGCTCGGCCTCGGGGGGCAGGAGGAGCAACTCGGACGCCCAGTCCAGGGGATCAGCGGGGCGGCAGCTCCCCAGGGCCGCCCCTCCCCACGGCAATGGAGCCCCTCCCGGGGGGTGCTCCTGCAGCCCGGCCCGGCTGGGGGACAGCGGAGGGGTGGGCAGCAGCTCGAACTTCTTCCATATGTCCTCCCCGGGGGGGGCCGAGTCCGGCCCGCATAAATAGAAATCATCTTCGTCCGGGTAGAAACAAGGCTGCAAGGAGTCGAACTCGAGGTCTGGGTTCTTGCTGATCATTCCCGGCATGGCGGGGCTCTCCGTGTCGATTCCCGGGTTGGGGACTCGTGTTAGAGACGAATTTTACGGTAGTTCCACCAAGGAGAGGAAAGATGTGCCCAGAACCTGAAACTAAAGCAAAAAATGGAAATAAAGAAACGAACACAATTAAAACACGAAGAAAGACGCCTGTAATTCCCTATTATGTAGTGGGAAAAAAATTAAGAAAAAAAAAATTAAAAGGAAGTCCCATCACGGATAGCAAAAAAAAAAACAAAAAACAAACAAACCAAAAAACTCAAACAACAACAACAAAAAAACAAACCAGGAGCCTTTATAAGTTAAGGAGGAATGCAACGCACCTTTTCGGACGCCGCAGGGCAGCGGCCATGAGCCGCTCCGGGGTGCACGCACACCTCCGGTCCTGCACGGAGCTCCGCGCTCTGCCCGACCGCCTCCAGCGCTCACAGCTGCACAGCCGCGGGCAGATACACGCCTCCCTGCAGAAAGCCCTCCTGATACGCGACCACGAGCAAAGGAAGTTTACTCCTTTTATCATTTCCAGCGTAGTGGGGAGAGAAGGGTGCAAAGGGGCACCCCGAACCCTGCAACCCCATCAGGGGAATCCAGCAGCAGCAAACACCGACGCGCACCAAAGGCATTAACACAGCCCAACAAAGCCCGACTCGCTACAGGAAGTTTTTCTCCCTCTTTGCAGTTTAACACGAGAGCCGCACGTTTCGCCCCGGGGAACAGCGCCCTTACCTCGCTGCCCCCGCGCTACCCGCGGCCGCTCACCCGCAGCCCCATGCTCCTCTGCATCGGGCATTGATACCGAAATGAGTTCTTAGTCCCGACCCAGCGAAAGGAAAACGCTGTGCTGGGTTGCAAACAGCTGACGGAGAGCAAAAGGGGGAGGAATAAAAAAAAAAAAAAAAAAAAAAAACCCACAACAAATCCGTGCAAAGCACTCTGATGAAATGCACCGAAACGCGGCTCAGCTGCTCGCCCCCGCCCCGCCCCCTGCTCCTTTCCAGCATTGTGCGCTTCCCTGCTCCCGAAATACACGAAACCGTTAAAAATGCGAAGCAGCAAAGAGGCACCTACAGAGCGCGGCGAGCTCGGTGCGACCGCTCCGCAGCACAGCCCAAATATCCGCTCAATGAAACCCCCATTGAGGGCCGGCGGAGCGCTGCCGCTCCCGTCCCATCCTCCCAGCTGGATGTGGAATTGTATTTATTTCATGGGGGTTTTGTCCTCCCGCTGCTGGCAGCCCAGACCCTGCCGCTTCCTCCTCCTCTTACCTCCCCGCTGCCGGCGGTGGGTGTTGCGAGGGGGAGGAGTGGCGGGGTGGGGGGAAGGGAGGGGAGGAAAAAGAAAAAAAAAAAAAAAAAAAAAAAAAAACCGACACCCCCGGGGCCCCCTTGGAGGGGGGGGGGTGGGGAAACGCGGCGTAACCCCACCCCCTGATTTCCATAGAGAAGGGAGGTGCCTCCGCTTGGCGCCAAAAGCCCCATTCGCTCTTTATTCTCCAGCGCGGGGCACTGCCCGGGGGTGCGGAGCTCGCGGGGTCGCCCCGCCCAGCATGGACGCGGCGCTGCGTGAGAGCGGCGGCCCTATCTGCGAACACCGAGGAGGAGGGGAGGGAAAAAAAATAATAATAAAGGAGAGAAATAAAGGAAGTGTCTGGAATGCGGAGTCGTCCCCGCTCCGAGCTTTATAAAGAACTAACGCTCGTCCTGCGGTGATCGCCTCCCCGCTCGCCGCGCACACCTCCGGCCCCGCCGCACCGCACGGCAGCTCCCGGTCGGAGCGGGCGTTCCGCTGCGCGCGGCGACACCTTGCGGAGGGCCGGAGGCGCGGCTACCGCGCGCGTCTCCCCGGCGGCGGACACCAACCGCTCTGTCTCCTTCCCCGGAGCGGCGGGGAGACGGCGGTGCGACCCCGATCCGGCGGCCGCTCGGGGAGCTGCCTCCCCGCTCGTAGGCTGCAGGTTGAGGCGGGGACGTGGGCGTTGCTCGCGGGAAGGCTGCCGGCGGCCGCTTGTTGTGCGTCCGGGCGGGGCGCCGCCTCCCGCAGCCTCCCGGGGTGAACCCGGAGGCTTCAAAAGTGGCAGCGCCGAGACAGGGTCTGTGTGAGAGTCGCTGAGAAAGAGCTTGTTTCTAAGGCCGGAGTCAGACTGCAGCAGCCCCTGTACCGTACACCTTCACCATGTTCCCCCGTTGTGCCTCAGCGTCTGGGTTGCGCTGTCTTTTGGGGTGATGCCCGCTTATCTCCGGGTTGTGCTTGGGTGGCCGAGGCTCAGGTTTCAAGGCCCCTCCAGGAAGGTGAGGTAGCCTTAAGCGTTCACACTGTTGTTTGAATGTCCGCTGCAGAAATGAAAACATGCAGAGGGGTTGGCCAGATGGAGCTGGTTGGGCTTGGCTGCAGCACAGATTGCTGGAGAAGGAAGATGGCAGCTTGTGGGGCTTCCACCTCGGTGTGAAGGCACTACCCTACACCATCATGGCAGCGGCTTGGTGCATCCATGCTGCAACAACCAACAAACAGCTGTGTGCAACCAGCGTCTGGGTGGCAACCAGGGCATGAGGCACAGGGCAGTGCCAGCTCAAGTAATGGCAAATGCTTGCATGAGTTTTGGTGCATTGCCTAAACACAGTCCTAGGAACAGCAAAAAAAAAAAAAAAAAAAGTATAGCCTTGCTTTCTGTTTGGGTACAGGAGTTTGAGAATTGGTTTAATAAAAAAAAAAATCAGATTTTTTTTTCTTTCTCTTCTGTATTCATGGCTCTGTTTTCAGGCAACATAAATACATTACCTGTGAATTTTCAAGTCGAATGTACAGAGTTGCAATCAGACATTCAACTAAAAAAAATCTGGTCATGTCTCTTTAGCAGACTTTTACAAACCATCTTTTACTAGAAAAAAGCATCCCTTGCTTCACAATCGCACATTATTCATGCCATCACTTTTTGGCAGTATGCACATTTGGGAACAGCTATTTTCAGGGGTGAAGTAGAGGAAGGGTAAAATTTCATCGAAGATCTCTGATGAACATCTTGAGTGCTCACTGAGAATTGCATCCACTGCACAGTCCAGCTTGATGTGTTAGTGTCACAGAAACAAAATCAAATATCCCACTAGTTTTGTTTTTGTTGCTCTCTTTTTTATGTTTTAATGAGTATATATGTATATATTTGTTTAAAAGTTATGTTGCTTATATGCATTAACTTCATCGTCAACTTTATGAGGGCCTCTCCAAAAGTAATGCTTCCTATTTTATTATATCAGCTCATGACATCAGAGGCAGATGTTGATAGATGTATGGCAGTAGAAGTTGAACCTTCCCACTGGTGTTTCATTACATTTTGTTGCCATGTGACAGATGGCAGCAGAGAGGCAGTCTGGCATGGAATCTAACATGGAAGTGCAGGTGAAGTAAAGGTATATCTCTAAATTCCTTAATGTAGAAAAAATGGTACCCACTGACATTCATTGCTGCTTGCTGAACATTTATGGAGATCAAACGTTGGATGTGAGCACAGTGAGGTGGGTGATAGTTTCAGCAACAATGCCATCATAGCAGCTGTGGAAAAGTGGCTTGCCTCTGCTGGTGCAGATTTTATTGGCGTGGCAAGCAGGCTTTTGTTCATGGCTGATGAAAATGAGTAGCTAATGGTGGTGACTGTTAAAAAATAGTACTTTTTAGCTGGGAATTTTCTTTATCAAATAGCGTTATTATGTTGTTTGTATTGGTTGCATTTTCTATGGAAATAAATAGGAGGCATTACTTTTGGAGCATTCTACATATATGCAGCCCAAGACATTTCCTATTCACTCAGTGCAGCCCAGGCAAGTCAAAACGTTGGACACCCGTTGCTCAGCATGATTGCAGTTGAAGTACAGGGTCCCGAAGGTGAGTTCGGATACTCGCTTGAATTACAACTTGGCTAGGAGGTGGCAGCTGTCTGTCATGGAAGGGGCAGCGCACCATGAAGCAGAGTAGCGCTGGAGCCCTGCTGGATCTGGCAGTATGCTGTTGAGATGTTCGGGGTGCCTGGATTTGGTGGTTTGGCCTCTATTCCCAAACTGCACTTTGGATTTAAGATGGCTGATTGCATTCATTAGCTAATGGATGCTCAGCACTCTGGAAACATGAAGCTGTAAGAAAGCCCTGAGCTTTGTTTGTTTGGGTGGTTTGGTCAGGCAAAAGAGTGTAGGTGTTTTTTAATTTATTTCTTTTTCCATTTCAGTAGCCTTTAACAGGTTGCAGACCATTGGTTTTACCACATGTAAATAATTTATTCATGCTCATCATTTGAAGTCTTTTCACAATTTACACAATTATTTATGATTTAAAAGTAATTCTTATTATCAGGCTGCCTGTAGTATCCTTCAAAATAATTCATTCTATCAATCTATCAGCTTTTAGTCTACTGTGGTATATAGTGTGATATCTTTTGTACCTGAATGTGAACATTAATGAAGGATGATGCTCAAGACAAAACTTTTGAAGTAATTTTTCTGTGGGAAAACAGAAAAAAAAAGGAAGTGAAAAGCAGTACACTGTGAAGCATTGCAGTTGATAAGCACTAATTCTAAAATTCTAAGTCTCTTCCTTTGTCTTGAACATTTAAGAAAGACATGAAAACATTGTGCAAATCTTTTAAATGACTGCACACATCTATGTGTTCGGGTTTTTTTTAGTTGACACATGGCTATTTTATCAATTTTTCTTTCTTCTATTTTTTGGTTCTTTGATCCCTTCTGTGTCTGAAATAGCATGTATCAGGAAGGCTCTAGGCAAGGGGACACCTGAAATTATATATAGTTATGTGCATTTACAATTACTTCATGCCATTGAAACAACCTGGGAGTTAAGAGGTGTTTTAGTATTGGGCCATGATGAAGACCATAGAATAGTTTAGGCTGAAAGAGACGTTAAAGCTCATCTAGTTCCAACCCCACTGCAAGGATACTTCTCAGTAGACCACGTTGCCCAAAGCCCCATCCAGCCTGGCCTTGAACACTACCAGGAATGGGGTATCCACAGATTCATTGGACAACCTGTTCCAGTGCCTAACCACTCTCGTACTAAAGAACTTGCTCCTAACATCTGATCTGACTCTAAACTCTTACAGTTTAAAACCATTATCCCTTGTCCTGTCCCTACACTTCCTGATAAAGCATCCCATTCCAGCTTTCTTGTAGGCCTTTAGGTACAGGCTGCAGCCAGGTCTCTCAGGAGCCTTCTCTTCTCCAGGCTGAACAGTCCCAGCTCTCTCAGCCTGCCTTTGTAGGATAGGTGCTCCAGGCCTCTGATCATTCTCGTGAGCGCCATGTCCTTCTTGTGTAAGGGCTGCAGAGCTGAACACAGTACTCCAGGTGGACTTTCATGAAAACGGCATACAGGGGGACAATCACCTCCCTTGCCCTGCTGGCCATGCCTTCTTTTCATGTTGCCCAGGATACGGTTGGCTTTCTGGGTTTCAAGCACCCAGCACACAGCTCGTGTTCAGTTTTTCATCCACCAGTACTTTCAAGTCCTTCTTCTCAGGTCTACTCTTAATCTGTTCTCTTTCTCACCCTTGTATTTTGCTTGTGATTGCCATAACCCATGTACAGGACATGGCATGTGCCCTCATTGAGTGTAATGAGGCTCACAAAGGCCCAATTCTTACACCTGTCAGGTTCCTCTAGATGGCATCCTTCTTTGTTGGGATGTATATTTCCTGGTCTTATAGGAGATTTTCCAGTTTTTCGGGGCTCGTCTTCCTTTCAAGGCTTTATCCCATGGAGCAAGCAGATCCATGAAGAGAACAAAGTCCAGGGTTGTGAGCTTGCTGTGTGCTCTCCTTGCTACCACAGTAATATTAAACTCCACTTTCTCATGATCACCACAACCAAGACTGCTTTTGATTTTCACATTTCCCACTAGCCCCTCCTTGTTGGTGAGAGCAAGGTCCAGCATAGTTCCTCTCCTTGTTGGTTCCTCTATCATTTGGAGAAGTAAGTTACCATTAGCAGTTACCTCCTAGATTGCTTGTGCTCTGCTGTGCTCTATCTCCGACAGATAACCTCAGATAACCTGGATTACATGAGGCTGCACCTATGGTCTACAAAGGGGCTCATCCTCTTGGTCTTTCTGGTTTAGTGGTCTGTAGCAAATCCCCACTATAATGTCACCTGTCCCTAA